AAATTATTGAGGATTCCAGTGTCTGTTGATATATGCTGTATTAGAAATTAAAACTGAGAAATCTTAAAGATACCAACGTACATAAGCACACTTATTAGTGGTCAGGGACATGACATACACTTCATTTAGCCTCTGGAGAATGAGAGTGAAAAAAAAATATATGAAGAAAAATGAATGAAATTGTATTATTATGAAAATAGTTTTGACCTTTTGGATTTCCTGAAAAATTTCTGATTGCTGTCTTAGAGTATAAGACTCCTATCAGAAAGTAAGGAGATGGCCTGAGAAAAAGCGTCTAGTCTTAGGAAGCACATTAAGAGGATAAAGGAACCCCATGGGTGAGGATTCTTTGGTATTTCTCTCCCTTCATATCCCCCATTTCAAAGGACAGTTGGCTTCCTGGAATTTCATTATCTCTTCTTTGAATTGAATTAGTGGAAATGTAGTCAGTTTGTCATTAGGAGAAAGGAGTTAACATTCATTGAGCATTTAGGAACCAGGTGTCAGCTGTTTTACAACAGTTTTGCAAGATAAATGATTTATTATCTCCATTTTACTGAGAAAACCTAGACTTAGTGGAGCCAGAATTTGAAATAAAATCTGTCATATTTTGGAGCTCTAGCTTTTATATGGGAACTAGAGGCCCAGTGCATGAAAATTCATGCACTGGAGCGGAGGGTCCCTCAGCCCGGCCTGTCCCTTCTCACAGTCCGGAAGCCCTCAGGAGTGGGAGTGGATCAAGGGAAGGAGACACCTTTATGGGGCAGGACTTGCTTCAGTGGGGCTTTGGTGCTCGCTGAGTCTGTCCCTTGAGTGTGTCTATTTACTTGTGAATGATGGTTTAGATGCTTTATTTTATTTATTTATTTTTAAAATATATTTTATTGATTTTTTTACAGAAAGGAAGAGAGAGGGATAGAGAGTTAGAAATATCGATGAGAAGGAATCATCAATCAGCTGCCTCTTGCACACCCCTTACTGGGGATGTGCCTGCAACCAAGGCACATGCCTTTGACCGGAATCGAACCCAGGATCCTTCAGTCTGCAGGCTGACACTCTATCCACTGAGCCAAACCGGTTTCAGCTGGTTTAGACGCTTAAAAAGTGATGATTTTGATGTGAAAGTCAAAGAATGTCCAGGTCAACAGAAAAGTTTGAAGACCAACAATTACAAATATTATTGGATGGAGATGCATGTCCAACTCAAAAACAACTTGCAGAAAGATTAAACATTGCTCAGCAAACAACTTCTGATTGTTTACAAGCAATAGGAAAGATTTTATTATTTATTTATTTTTTAAAAATATATTTTATTGATTTTGTACAGAGAGGAAGGCAGAGAGACAGAAACATTGATGAGAGGGAGTCTTCGATCAGCTGCCTCTTGCACACCCCCTACTGGGGATATGCCTGCAACCAAGGTACATGCCCTTGACCGGAATCGAACCCCCGGGACCCTTCAGTCCCCAAGCTGACGCTCTATCCATTGAGCCAAACCGGTTTTGGCATTATAGGAAAGATTTTAAAGGAAGGAAAATAGGTGCCACATCAACTGAATGAAAGGCAAATGGAAAACCGAAAAGTCATCAATAAAATGTTGCTTCAACAGCACAAAAGAAAGTTTTTTTTTTCATTGAATTGTGACTGGTGATGAAAAGTGGATTTATTTTGAGAATCCCAAACGCACAAAATCATGGGTTGATCCAGGTCAACCATCAACACTGACAGCAAGGCCATGTCGTTTCGGAAAGAAGACAATGCTCTGCATTTGGGATCAGGAAGGTGTGGTGTAATGAGCTTTTAAAACCAGGTGAAACCAACAACAAATAATGAATTTGAACAGCACTTTGATTGTGAAACGACCAGAATGTGCCAGAAGACATGGCAAAATAATTTTGCTTCATGATAACCCACAATCACACACTTCAAAACCAGTTAAAGACACCTTAAAAGATCTTGCCCGGGAAGTATTCACCAGACCTCAGATTACCACTTGTTTTGATTGATGCACACACACTTTCTGAGCAGCACTTCAAAATGCATGAAGTGGAAAATTGGGTCTCTGAATGGTTTGCCTCAAAACAAGAAAAGTTCTATTGGGACGGTATCCACAAATTACCTGAAAGATGGGGGAAATGTGTAGCTAGCAATGGACATTACTTTGAATAAAGCACTTTTGATGTTTCTCTTGAAATTATAGTATTTTATTTGATTACAAAATTATTAACCATTACTCTTGATAAATCTCTGGCTATTGGTGATTGAACTCAATGTTCAGCCACTCTCCTTTCCTCTGAGGTCTTGGATGGGGCTAAAAGTTTTAAACTTCTAATCAAGTTTATGGTTTTTCTGGGGACCAACTCCTATCCTAAAGCTGTCTGGGGCCTTCCCCACCACTCCTCCATCATTCATATGCAAATGATAGTACATTTCAAAGGTTTTCAGAGCTTTGTGTCAGAAACCTGAAACAAGGAGCAAGTATTTTTTTGTTATAAAATACTTGTATTTACTGTATTGTCTCAAATTCTCCATAAATAGTGAATCTTTGGAAGTCTTTTTTACTATATATTGTCAAGGTTATTTAGTCATGGAAGTAACAGGTTGGTCACTAATCTAAAGCAATGGTAATTCATTTGGGAAGAATATAATTTACTAGACTTGAATACAGAGTGGGTTACCCTGGAGGTATATTCCTTGCAATTTGGGGTGGGGGGCGGGGGAAGGGTTTAATATGTATGAATGACTTTAGGCCAGTAGTTCTGGGGAGAGGTGATTTTGTTCCTCTGGACATTTGGCAGTGTCTGGAGACATTTTTGATTGTTGCAGCTTTGATGGATTGGTTGCTTCTGCTATCTAGTGGATCCCTAGATGCCAGGGGTGCTAATAAAAATCTTGTTATATGCAGAACAGCCCCTCACAACAAATGGCCCTAAATGTCAGTTATAAGTAGGTTGAGGAAAGCTGGTGGCCAATTTAGAAATCACTAATAGATGGTAGTTGAAACTTTGAAGCTGTGTAACTGGATACAGTCACTTGAGCTGATGACCGACTCTGGAGCCTTATCCACTTAATTAATTCTACCACTTTGATAGATATGAATAAACCCTTTTTATTCCTGTTCCACAAACCACTTAAAGAGAACAAAGGGCAATCATTCAGATTACCTAAATATAGTTGTTAGTTGATTTTCTGGTTTGGGAAAAAACAATAAAATCTTTACTCTCTTTATAGTCCTGAACTGATAGGGAGGACTTTCCAGACCTCCATTGAAAAGTATTTCTACCCAGGATGAAAAGAATTCTGGAAATTATCTACACATAATGTGAATGTACTTAACACTATTGAACTGTACAATTAAACACAGTTAAGTAAATTTTATGTTATGTATATAACAATTTTTTAAAATTTTCATCTAGTGTTTCATATTTTCTTAGATGGTGTTCCATTGTATTTCTCTGGGCTCTTGTTTTCTGTTTCTATAACTCTTTTAGTCGGAGTGTTTATGTTCTCACAGGTGATTTTTCAGCGCATTTGATTTTTAAAGTATACAAATTAGCCCTTGTCTTAAAAATTAAATAGTACTGATTGGTATGAAAAAATATATATATTTTTTAGCTTAGTTAATTGAAGCATTTAACTAGATTCCTTTTTTCCTTAATTTATTTTTCATTATTGACAATATTAGAAATGTCCCCCATTTCCCTCCCTCTTTTGCCCCCCTTCACCCAGCTGCTGCCTCACCTCAAGCCTTCGTTGCACTATTGTCTGTGTCATGAGCTATGCATATATGCATATAAGTTTTTTGGTTAATCTCTTCCTGAGATCTGTCAGTCTGTTCTATGTGTTCATGCCTCTGGACCGATTCTGTTCGTCAGTTTGTTTTGTTCATTAGGTTCCACATATAGGTGAGATCATGAATATTTGCCTTTCTCTGGCTGGCTTATTTCGCTTAGCATAATAATCTCTATCTAGGTCAATCCATACTGTAGAAAAGGATAAGAACTCCTTTTTTACAGCTGCATAGAATTCCATTGTGTAAATGTACCACAGCTTTTTAACCCACTTATCTACATGGACACTTGGGCTGTTTCCAGATCTTAGCTATTGCAAATAATGCTGCTATGAACATAGGGTTGCATATATTCTCTCAGGATTCTTAGGATATATTCCTAGAAGTGGGATCACTTGGTTAAAGGGCAGTTCCATTTTTAAATTTTTGAGGAAACTCCATACAGTTTCCACAGTGGTGGCACCAGTCTGTGTTCCCACCAGCAGTGCACGAGGGTTCTCTTTTTTCTACGTCCTCAACAGCACTTACTGTTTGTTGATTTATAATAACATTTATAATAACTCATTGTAATTTATAATAACTCATTGTAATTTTAATTTGTATCTCTCTGATGAATTGTGATGATGAATAGCCACAGAAATCTTGAGAAAGAAGAAAAAAGTTGGAGGGATCACAATACCAGATATCAAACTATACTACAGAGCTATTGTAATAAAAGCAGTCTGGTAATTGCATAAGAACAGGCTTATAGATCAGTGGGACAAAACAAACACCCCAAAATTGACCCTGGCCATTATTGTCAAATAATATTTGACAAAGGAGGCAAAAGCAATCAATAGAGTAAAGACAATCTCTTCAATAAATGGTGCTGGGAAAATTGGACAGATATATGCAATGAAACTAGACCACCAACTTATATCATGCACAAGAATAAACTCAAAATAGAGAAAAGACCTTACATTTAAGTCATGAACCCATAAAAATCCTAGAAGAAAACATAGGCAGTAAAATGCAGACATCTCATTTAACAAAATTTTTGCTGATAAATATCCTAAGGCAAGAAAAATAAAGGAAAAAATTCACTAAATTAATTTAGGGAACCATATGTAGTTATTGTGTGGATATTGAAAAAGAAGTAATTGTTTAGCTTCACATGCTTTTAATATAAAAATTATTCAATTCATGTATTCCTTTTGTTTCTTCCTAATAGGCTTTCAAGGATATGCTGTATTCAGCTCAGGACCAGGCACCTTCTGTGGAAGGTAAGATGCATTAATTCCTTCCTACATGTAGTCATATAAAATCTCTTTTTAAGGAAAGAGATTTTAAACTGCACAGTACAAAACCAATATAACCTGTCCTATTATGTAGATCTTTTTTAGTTTTCATAATATATATCATAATTACGTTATATTTCAAACAGACATTGTTTTTTGTTTAGTTCACATTTTCCCTATGGATCTTGTAAATGTCCTTAAATCAATCTTAGCATTGTGAATCATATACTGGCTTAGAGTCAGATTTCTTATCTGTGTCATTTTCAACCCTTCCAAATGTTTTTTCTTTTTCTTTTTTTAAAATTCTTTATTGTTAAAACATCCAAATGTATTTTCATATCTTTCTCTTCATCCATCAACCTTCAGTGGATCCTTAGTCCATAATTAGTTTGGCCAATACACCTTTTTCTATTTATGCCATGTCTTTAAACTGGGACTAAAACAACAGAGCACATTTACTCTGTGTGTGTGTGTGTGTGTGTGTGTGTGTGTGTGTGTGTGTGTGATAAGCATTTATATATATGCAAGTATACAGTTTGGCAGTCATAAAACAACCTAAGGACACTGGTTATCTCTCTAATTATCTTTATTGATCCTTCTTTTTCTGTTACCTCAGCTTCTGCTAACAGCTCATTCCTTATGGGTTTAACCTTTGATAGGTTTGGAGAATTCTAAGTTAAAGTAGTATGGGTTCTTGTGTCAGTAATTAATTAGCTAATTCAGCAACAATTTCTTGAGGGAGTGTTCTTTCTGAGGCTGGGTATTTTACCTTTTTATTTCACTTTTTTTTTCTTTAGGAGTGAAGAATGTGGAAAAGTATTTACTAAGAATATTCTAGATTAATACAGATTAATATCTTTATGTAATGCCAAACTGGTATGCTATGAAGTCATTCTAATGACAAGCTTTTTCAGGCTTATTTTTATGACATAGATGCTGAAGTTATTTAATAAAACTATAGATGCATACATCTTTCATTTCTAGTCATTTTGAATTGAAAATGTGCTTCCTTTAATACTTCAAAATCTTTTTTTTCCATGTGAAAAATATTTTTATTTTTATTTTTTAAATAAATTTTTATTGTTCATATTATTACAAATGTTCCTTCCCCCCCATTGCTCTCCTCCACCAGGTTCCCATCCCACCCTGTGTCCTTTCCCCACCTCCCATTGTCCTCATCCATAGGTGCACAGTTTATGTTCAGTCTCTTCCCACATACCCCTCTCTCCATTTCCCCAAGAATTGTCAGTTCACTCCCCTTCCATACCTCTGATTCTATTATATTCAACAGTTAATATTGTTCATCAGATTTTTTTTTTTAATTTCCTTGGTTTTTAGATTCACTTGTTGATAGTTACATATTTGTTGTTCATAATTTTTACCTTTATTTACTTTCTCTTCCGAAAGAACCCCCTTCAGCAATTCATATAATTCTGGTTTGTGTTGATGAACTCCTTTAGCTTTTTTTTATTAGTGAAGCTCTTTATCTGGCCTTCAATTCTGAGTGATAGCTTTGCTGGGTAGATTATCTTTGGCTGTAGGTTCTTACTATTCATCACCTTGAATATTTCTTGCAATTCCCGTCTGGCCTGCATGGTTTCTGTTGAAAAATCAGCTGACAATTGTATAGGTGCTCCTTTATAGGTAACTACCTTCTTTGCTCTTGCTACTTTTATTATTCTCTCTTTGTCTTTTGCTCTTGGAATTTTAATTATAATTTGTCTTGGTGTGGTCCTCTTTGGATTCCTTTTGTTTGGAGTTCTGTGCGCTTCCTGGACTTGTAAGTCTAATTCTTTCACCAGGTGGGGGAAGTTTTCTGTCACTATTTCTTTCAGTATGTTTTCGATATCTTGCTATTTTTTGTAAGATACTAGACCACTTAGTGTTTTACATATGTGATATGCCTCCTTTCAAAGTTACATGTAGGCATAGATTTGAAAAATCATATATGAATTGTTGGAGAATTTTAAAAAAAAGTCTACTCAGTGGAATACATTTTTTAGATTATTTGAATTATAATGGAAAGATCTCCAGATGCTTTGATTGTTTTCTTTTTACATTTGGGTTCTCGTTATAAAGTACTAGTGGCCCAGTGCACAAAATTTGTACACATTAAAAGGGGATTAATTAGAGGAAATAATTTAATATTGCTATTTGACCTTTCTCTATAATAGAAGTGTTAGAGATGAAAGAAAATTAGTAAAATGTATATGAAAACCTTCCTCCTGTCAGAGTCTGGGGCACACCACGGGACCCAGAGTCAAGTCCCCGCCCATCCACATATGCCTCAAAATCACAGGAGACCCAGATCCAGCCAGCTCCTGCCCTCATTGGGCTAGATCCAGACCTGGCCAGTCCCACCCTTGTCAAGCCCCACTGGGTAGGGGATGTAGTCTCAGGTCCCCTGGCCCAGCACCAGGACGGGGTGTGTGGCCTGAGGTCCCCCAGCCCAGACCAGGGTGGGGGGCATGCCTTGGGGTCCCCCATCCCCGCCAGGTGAGGGTCATGGCCTGAGATCCCCTGTCAAGCCCCGCTGGGTTGGGGGCATGGCCTGGGGTCCCCCATCAGGTTCCATGGCCCAGCACTGGGATGGGGGCACAGCCTCAGGTCCCCCGTCAAGCCCTGCTGGGCAGGGGGCACAGCTTGAGTTCCCCCGACTCAGCACTAGGGGTGATCTTGAGGTCTCCTGTCAAGCTCTGCTGGGTGGGGAGTGTGGTCTGAGGTCCCCGGCCTGGTGCTGGGGTGGGGGAGCAGCCTGGAGTCCTCTAGCCCAGCACCAGGACAGGAAGCGCATCTTTTTAAAAAAAATATATTTTGATTTTTTACAGAGAGGAAGAGAGAGGGATAGAGAGTTAAAAACATCGATGAGAAAGAATCATCGACCAGCTGCCTCATGCACACCCCCTACTGGGGATGTGCCTGCAACCAATGTATATGCCTTTGACTGGAATCGAACCTGGGACCTTTAAGTCGGCAGACCAACACTCTATCCACTGAGCCGAACCGATTTCAGCAGGAAGCTCATCTTGAAGTTCTCCTGTCAAGCTCCACTGGACAGGGGGCATGGCCTCAGGTCCCCTGGCCTGGCGCAGGGACATGGGGGAGTGGCCTGAGGTCCTCCAGCCTGGTGCCAGGGGGTGCGGTGTGGCTTGAGGTCCCCTGTCAAGCCTTGCTGGGTGGGGGATGCAGCGAGAGGTCCCCTGTCAAGTCCTATGGGGGTGGGGGAAGGTGTAGCCTCAGGTCCCTGCTGATTGCTCATTAAGGCTCCTTATGGGAACTTGGCCTCAGCTGTGGGTACAGCCATCTTTGTGATGGGTTGATGGTCAATTAGGATATTCTCTCTTTATTAGATAGGATTCCTTTATTTTTTATATTTTTAAATCTTTATTGTTGAGACTACTACATATGTTCAAGTATTCCTTTTGATGGGGAATGTACATAGCTAGTGTTAGCTTAATACAGCTCTCTGACTTTCTGAAATGGAACAAATACAGATAGTTAAGGACATAAGCCACTGACCACTACTATAGTGGTCTCTGCTTTTCTACCATTTCTTCTTTAGTCTCCACCCATACTCCCCAATCTTATGAACATGTTTTATTGGATCTTTTTTGCTTAGGCTTCCTTTGCTTATTCAACTTGGTTAGTAGATGTGTTACAATCTCCCTAAGCTCCTTAGAATTCAGCTCTTAGTAGATTAAAGTATGCTTGTAAATTATTCATTCTGATTATATGCTTGAGTTCACTTTAGGCATCGTCTTCCACCTCACCTCTGTCCCCAGGTCTTTATTGTTTTCACAGATATGAGCTTGCTTTTTAGTTTTAGATGATGGGAGACTGAATTACCTTTCTAAAATCTATGAAGTGTATTATCAATACAATGCCTAATCTTGTTTAATCCCATCACTGTTTTGAAGCAAATTTCAGAAATTGTATCATTTTATCTGTAAATATTTCTAAAGAATAGTCTCTGCCCCATCACACATAAAGTATTAATTGTAATTTCTTAATATTATTAAATATCTGGCAGGATTCACATTTTCCTAATTATTTTATACTTTAAAAAAGATTTATTAGTTTGAATAGAACCCAAATAACATTCATTTTTTGATATACTGTGATTGATTAAAAATCTCTTAGTTCTTCTTTGATCTATAGTGGCACCATTCATTATGGTACCCAGTAGTCAGATGTAGCTATTTAAATTAATTGAAATGAAATATTCTGATCCTCAATCATACTAACTATAAAGCCACATGACGTTAGGAATTACTGTATTGAACAGCATAGAATATTTCTCTCATTGAAGACAGTTCTATTGGTCAGAGCTCATCTATAGATTTCCCCTCTTTCTTTATTTTTCTTCTATTTTCCTTTAAAAATTTTTATTATTATCTGGTAGAACAAAGAGGTTTGTTTGCTTCTTTTGGTCTTTCAGATTCTGGATTTTACTGATTGTACTTCTGTGGTATATCTTAACATGGTTTCTGTTTTCTGTAGTTTCTGTGAAATTTTAGTTAAATCTAGGGACTTATAATTCTGATCAAATACAGAGCACACATATTTTCCCCCCCTCACAACACTTTATAAGTGCTGATGTGTATTTCTATTAGGAGGAATGTATATTAGCAGATTGTTTCTCTTTGTAATGTTACTAGCTATTGACAATTATTGCCTCCCCTAGATTCATGAATTCAGTAAGATTTACAAAATAGTGATATTCTAATTCTCCTGTGTTTATCATCAGAATTCTGTAAAGAGAAACTTCCTTTCCTTTAGTTACCCTTAGCTATATAAATTGTATAGGAAAGATAGGATAATTGCCTAATTCTTTCCCTTTGTTGCTAGCTTTCAAAATAATATTGGTTCTCTGACATTTTCCAAAGTTGACCAATGAAACTTTTTAAAAGTGTCTTAATGAATAAATATATTTAAATGTATTTGGTATGTTTTGGTACAGTGTAGTTTTTATCCTCATTAACGAT